GGACGCCTCTACTCAGGCAAACTTGCTCTTTTTGGAGAAACGGTGCTGGGCTACCTCAAAACTGACTTGAAAGGACTTCCAAAATGGTCCAAGGGAGTTTGGCTTACAAAAACCATGATGAATGACTGCCATGTGATTGGAACTGCAACAGGAATCTTTGTCACCAGAAGTATCAGGCGACTTCCTAGTTCCTTTCAGCTGGAACAACTGGGTGATTTGACAGCTTGTCCATGGGAGTACGGATATGCAAATCTTGGTCATCGTCTTGTTTACTCAAAGAGGGTGTCACAACCTTTTGGCGTCGCAGTTGGAGCCAACTTGCAGCTTGGTGACAAGGAAGCATTGGCTGTCAGAGACTATGCCCGTGCTCATCCATTTGAAGATGCTGACCCCAGTGCCATTTCGGCCGAGGCGGGGATTCAACCCTCAGCAGTGGCTGGCAGTGCAGAGGTGCCAGCATCAACTCTTGCGAGCGAGGAGACTGGAAATGTTGGCCCATCATCGAGTGCAAGACCTGACTCTGGAATTCCGCAAGTCGAAGGTTCGTCTAGTGGATCTTCAAAGCATACAATTGAACATGATGATGTTGGTGCAGAGGCCAAACGTCTGCATTTTTCTGGGTATGGTGACAGCTTGCCTCATGGTGATGTCGTGCCACAGACACCTGTCTCAGTGGCTGGTGATTTGCTTGATGATACTCCGATTGAAAACATGATGAGCCCAGCAAAAGCCAGCAAGCATGACACTGCAGGTGGAATCAGTCTCTTGGGTGTGATTCGCAACATTGAGCATCTGGACATTGAGTCTGATGTCCCTTTCAGCTCTGACAATGTGGATGCTTTGATTCAGCATGAGTTGAACTTGGATGAGGACCCATACGAGGTCGAGATTGACGTTGGCGCATGTCTCAAGGAGCTCAGCTATCCTTATACACCACAAGAGCCAGATCTTCCCCAGGAAGAACTTCAAAAACTTGATGCGCTTGCAGATCAAGTTGAGATTCAGCGTTTGGTTGGACTTGAAGTCCTAAAACATGATGGTCTACCACTGAACTGCAAGACCCTGAGTACCAGGTTTGTGAGAACATGGAGGGAGAAAAAAAATGACAAGGGCGAGGCGATATGGCTTCGTCGCAGTCGGCTGGTAGCAAGAGAGTACACTTGGTTGCAGCCGGACAGGGAGTCATTGTTTTCCCCGGCAACTTCAAGCTTGGCAAGCAGAATTCTTCCAATCTGCTTTCTGGCCATGAAGGAGCATCAGGACTGCATTATGGCATCAATTGACGTCAAGGACGCCTTCTTGACAGTGAAACAAGAAGTGGACACCCGAGTAACATGCACGGATGCCAGTGGGAACTCTGTGCAGTACAGCTTAGGCCGTGTTTTGCCTGGGCAGCGAGATGGAAGCCTTCTTTGGTACAAGGACTTGGCGAAGTTTGTCAAAGAATGTCCACTGGAGATGGCAGAGCTGGATGCATATCCCAGCATTCTCAGGAGCAAGAATGGCGATTGCTTCTTGATGGTCCATGTGGATGACCTTCTCATCGTCGGCAGCCGAGATACCGTGATGAAGCAGCTTGTGCCTTCACTGCAGTCGAAATACGCAATTTCCATTGAACTAATGGCCAAGCCCGGAGATGAAGTTACCTTTCTCAAGCGCACCCATGAACTGTTGGAGGACAGCAGGATGGTGATTCGAGTGCATCACAAGCACCTCGATCAGCTGTGCAAACTCTTGTGTCTTTCCAAGAGACTTCAGTGTAAGAAGACCCCAGGTCACAGTGAGATGGAGATTCCCGACAAGTCTCCAGAGCTCAATGGGCAGGATGCTTCAACGTACCGCACCTGCGTGGGAATTCTTCTTTACCTTTCAGCTGACCTGCCGCAATGCCAATATGTGATCCGATATCTTTCCACTTTCTCTTCGAAGCCAACTGAGAAATCCATGATGGTGCTTAAACATTTGGTTGGCTACATGGCAGCACATGCCGACCAATGCATGTCTTTGAAGTGGAAGGGCTTGCATGCTGGTGTCTTCAAACAGTATGAGAACGAGGAGCCGATGGTGGAAATTTTCAGCGATGCTGACTGGGCAGCCGACAGGGAGACAAGACGTTCTGTCTCGGGAGCTGCAATTTATGTTGGAGGCTGTCTTGCCTACTCAAGCTCCAGGACGCAGAAAATCGTGTCACTTTCGAGCGCGGAGTCAGAAACATATGCAGCAGCTTCGGCAACCATGGATGCAATCTTGATTACAACCATCTTCTCATGGCTTCTCCGATGTCATTTCATGATGTGTTTGTACTTGGATTCATCAGCTGCAAGAGGTGTTCTTTCTCGAAAAGGCGTAGGTCGTTTGAGGCATTTGTCATGCAGGATTTTGTGGATGCAAGACTTGGTCATGGAAAAGCGTTTACTGGTTAGATCAGTGATGGGAGCTTTGAATCCCGCAGACATCGCCACGAAAAGACTCAGCGCAGCAAGGCTCGAGTCACTATGTTATTCTCTGGGAATTTGGAGAGGAAACAACTTGGAAGGAGCACATGACCCAGGAAATCTTTTCAGACATGTCACAAGTCAAAGACAGCAGGGCTATAGCCAGGCACAGATCAACCTTTTGATTAGCGCCTTGAGCGTGCTCACTCAGCTTCAGGGTTGTGAGGCCATGGACTCCACGGCATCGTTCAATGCCATTTTTCTGTTCACATGGCTGCTGGGTTTGCTTGGCTACCTCTACCTGGTCATTCGCCCTGGACAACCTATGAAAAGTTTTGATTTTGTGGCAGATGCAGAGATTTCAGATGACGGCGCTGGAGACCCAATTGACAATTCCGATGAGACCTCAACTGCATCGGAATATCCGCCATGGTCAGAAGAAGGCATGATCCACTGGATGTACGACAGGTGTGAACGCCGACTTCACAAAGCTGCGCACAGACAAGACCCTCAGAAAACAGGCCAATATCAGGCCAGACAAGGAATCCTCAGCGACATGCTTGCGATGCTGGAGACAGCAACAAATGACACAAGACATCAGATTCACATGGTCCTTGAGGACATCACAGATTTGTCGAGCGATGAGGACAGCCCGACAATGAACACTGGAGGTCATGCAGCGGCTTTGGATGTTGGGTTGACAACAGGGATTGGAACAGCCTTCATTCATGGCATAGCCGGAATGACTTTGAGCGGATGCGATGGTGTCTATATGGAGTCAAACAACGGTCCCATGATCTCCTTCACGACTTTGGTCTTGACATTATGGACTATGTTGCTGGGTGGATATACATGGTACTGGCTCAGGCGACCAGTAACACAGGTGACTTTCCCACCTACAGCTCTTGTGAGAGCAGCAGCAGCACCAGAACCTGAGGTCACTGAAGACCTGCAACTGGAAGGAAAACTTCTGGTGGCTCTTCGCAGGATCAATGGACGCCTGCAACGTGCGGAACAGAGAGGCAACAGAGGCCAGTGCATGAAACACATGCAGAACAGAGCATGGCTTTTGAGCTGTGTGAGCCACCATACCAGTTGCAGCCCTGCAGAACGTCTCAGGATGGCCGAAGTGATCACTGACACTTGCAGCCTCAGTGAGGATGATGAGTCACCTCAACACAATCTTGGGGAGGACGAGAAGCACCTTCTCATGAGTGAGGCTGACAAAGCCTTCCGATCGATGATGGCCCTCCTTGAGTATGACACTGCTGAGGAGGTTGGCAAGCTGATTGTACAGCTTGGCAGTGCACTTCGAGACGCCAGACCAGAAAGTCCCAGGTCAGATGAAACCATGGAGGAGACGATGGAGGCGAAGGCTCGTCGGTATCAGAACTGCGAGCAGTGTGAAGCCTCGGACCCCGAGTTTTGGGCAGATGTCCATTATGGACCACGAGTTGAGGGAGATGACATGGAAGAGGACGAAACAGGACTCCAAGAATTCTGAGAGGCAATAGCAAAAATGGGCACCACAGAAGCGAGTCACTGAATGGAGACCAGATCCATCAGGTGGCTACAGTGCCAAGAAATCGAACTAATAGTGATTTCACCCTTTGAAGAGCTCCAAAAAGAAAGATTCGAAGGCCAAACATGTGGTCTGAGGAGCTTGTAGCATAGTGAAATTCTCAAAGATTGAGATTTCAAGGCGGGGTGAAAGTCATTTCCGCATTTAGAGTCTTGTACATGTACACATCAGTTGTGTAGCTGTGCAGATGACACGCACAAATCGAGCAGTGAAATTCAGGACATACTCTGAGGCGCTTTCGGTTCCAGAAAAGTTCGCAAGTTTGCAATTTGAAAGTGACAACCAATGGTCAAAGACCAATGGTTGAGGCGGGGTGAACAGAATTTACCCATGTACCATCCCGTTGTTTACAATAGAAACAGTTGCATGCATTGGCAGTTCATTCAAACTGTGACTTCAACACGTTGTCATAAGCAGTTGCCATGACATGCATGTACAGGTGAATCATACATATATCCACAGGCGTTTCGCTTTCAAGGAAAAAAATCATTTTGCGATGGAACCTTGAGAGTCTTTAGGTGTTCTGCTCATCAGCGCTGGTCTGACAATGTTTGATCCTCTCATCGAAACCAAACAGGTCCGTGGGTATTTATAGCAATTTCCCACAAAAATCGAAAAGGGATTTAGAACCATTGTAGCAAAAATTTACCAACTTCTTAGCTTGGGGGTTGCGAAAAAATACACCAACTAAAAACCAAACATTTCGAGGATCATTTCGACGAACCGGGTCTTTGCTGACTCCCTGTACCTTGGGGATGGGTAGCTCTTTGCTCAAGGTGATACAGCCGAAGTGAGGGAACTATTTAGCTCGGGGAGGTGCAAAACAATGTGGTTTCGCAGAACATCTGAGATCCTTCATATTTTCGACTTATTCGAAAAATAGCAGTCACAATGCTGCTGAGAGTCGATTTTTCGAATCTTTGACAATTCCGAACACATCAATGGAGGGAAAACCTATGAAAAACCTATGATCCCCTTGGTGGGGAACATCCACAACTCCCAATGGCCGTGGTTCCAGTTCCGGATGGCGGCGCCGGCAGCGATCGGTTGATCATTGCACCCAAGCCTGGTTGGAAACCCAGGATTCCCAGGATTCCCAGGATTCCCAGAATGGGGCTCCAAGGACCTGAAAAAAAAATCACCATAGTAGGGGTTTTAAGTGGTTAGTTATATCCAATATATCCCAACTTTTGGGACTTTTGGGATTTTTTGGGAAAACCGTGGTACAATAATGTTCAATATATCCACGAACAGTTCACTGGAACTTCCAATGTTTTTTTGAATTCATGGAACATGGAATCTGTTAAATACTTCATGGCTACTGTTGTATATTGAATCTCGTGTCAGCTGTTCAGCATTTCAGACAAGATTCTTTGGAACCAAGATCGAAAATAATTCGGTACATTGGTCGTTTCAATTCGGTACATTGGCAAAAATTGTGCCCCAGGTGATTATCTCCCTCTCAATCCCGGCGAAGCATGTGCAGATGTCAGAGTGCAGTTCAGTGGCGACTTGGTTCATTGGGAAACTTCGCTTGGTCCAACTCTGCGATTGTAATACTTAGTAAATACTTGTATCTGCAGTATCTGTATATTTGCTCAGGTTCCATTGCGGGTCCCTGCGCTTTCTGGCTAGAGGTTCAGATGGTTGTGCGGTGGCGGTACAATAGTTCAAACCTTTTTGCTTATGTTTGGACGGGCTCATGCCAAAATATGCTGAGCATGGCAAGTCTTAAGATATAATCAGAGCAGCCCAAAAACGCCACAAAGAAGAGGGCTAGGATGTGCGTTAGGGGATACCGAACAGGGCGCGTTTGATCATGTCTTTTCTTGCCACCCTCTTAGAACACCTATTTTGAGTGGCATATGAGTGGCCTATTGGAGGAACTTGATGAGCCCGCCCTTCGGTGTGATTTTCGCAGGCAAATGGAACTGTGGGGAGCATGAATGTCCTGGATAAGGCGCCAGTTCTCTTCAGAAAGTTCTTTTGAAAAGGCTATTCTAAGATTCTACTCTTTCTGATTTGTTTTTTTCTTTTCAAATCCTCAGCTTGATCCAAGCGGATCCAATCAGTGAGGTTCCTTCAGAGCCAGTGGTTTGGCACAAGGTTCCCGAAGGAGCGAACCCCAGAGGTCTTTGATGTAAAACCTGGAAGTTCTGTTTTTTTCCATGTACGCAACTTGCCTAGCAGGATCCAATGCATTCAGCATTGGTAGAGTCGTTCATAGTTGACATAGTTTGAGGTGATCCATGCCCGGTAACAAAATACTGAGGTCAGCACCGAGTTCAGCTGGTTCTATTCTTAGATTTCTCACGAACCAATGGAGATTTCATCGCGAATGGAGCGATATCACTGAGGTGCTTTGGACCCCTGCGGGAATGGACGCGTCTTTGCGACCCAGCAAGCCAGAGGTTCGGGGAAGGATAGCGGCATCATCATATGGCATGATGGACCCCAGCGTGAGGGTACCATAGGCTTATTACATATTATTATTTATTTATTTATTTATTTATTTATATATTTATTTATTTATTTATTTATTTATAATTATATTTATCTATTTATGATTATGTACGATTAGAACTTCACTTTGTTCTCTTCATCCCAATTTTTTTTCAACGCCCCAAAGATCCACGAAGTCTTGCTGGATCGCCTCATGGCCTGACCATCACATTCCCTGGGGATGATTGGTTGAAGATCCATGGGGCTGATATCTCCATGATTCTTGGTTATTTATGTAATTTTTTGATATTTTTTGCCCCATTGTTGCAGATTGTTGCTGCTTCATTTCCAAAATCTACTCCACATACCTTACATTGCCTTACATTGCCTTGCATATACCCCCCAAATGCTATTTCTCGTTGGGATCTGGAGGATCTCTCCTCCTTCGATTCGCGGGGTTCTGCCACGGTGGATTTTCGGGTGAAGCGCTTTGAAGACTTCATCCCAAGCTACGAGTGGAAGGAGGTGGAGAGATGGCATCAGTTACCTCCAGGCATGGCTGCTAAGAACGCTAAGATTCGTTGCGATGTAATCATCAAGAACATCACCTATCAGACTTATCTGTGATATATCATCTTCTCTCTGAATCATGATTTATGCATATTTTAGATCACATTTTCATGGATATGGCATTTTTCCATTTTTCCTGGTTTTCTGCATGTTTTTCCACCTGTTTTTCACCTTTGAGGCTTGGAAATCGTGGGGGATTTCTCCTCCTGTCGGTCCTGTCGAGCCAAGATCCCGGACTGTTGGCCCTGGCGGGTCCAGGTGCAGGGCCAAGCCGAGGCGATGGAGGTCCTGGTGCGGCGTGAGTCGACCATGGCGGAGCTGTTGGAGCAGTTGCAGCTGTCGGAATCGACCCATGAAGTGGTTTTTCTGCTGAAAATATGGCTGTTTTTTAGGAGAAAATCTTGGGAAAATCTTGGGAAAATCTTGGGAAAATCTTGGGAAAATCTTGGGAAACATCTTGGGAAAATCTTGGGAAAATCTTGGGAAAATCTTGGGAAAATCTTGGAACAATCTTGGGACAATCTTGGGAAAATCTTGGGAAAATCTTGGGAACATCTTGGGAAAATCAGGGGAAAATCTTGGGAAAATCTTGGGAAAATCTTGGGAAAATCTTGGGAAAATCTTGGGAAAATCTTGGGAAAATCTTGGGAAAATCTTGGGAAACATCTTGGGAAAATCTTGGAAAAATCTTGGGAAACATCTTGGGAAAATCAGGGGAAAATCTTGGGAAAATCTTGGGAACATCTTGGGAAAATCTTGGGAAAATCTTGGGAACATCTTGGGAAAATCTTGGGAAAATCTTGGGAAAATCTTGGGAACATCTTGGGAAAATCTTGGGAAAATCTGGGAAACATCTTGGGAAAATCTTGGGAAAATCTTGGGAACATCTTGGGAAAATCTTGGGAAAATCTTGGGACAATCTTGGGACAATCTTGGGACAATCTTGGGAACCATCTTGGGAAAATCTTGGGAAAATCTTGGGAAAATCAGGGGAAAATCTTGGGAAAATCTTGGGACAATCTTGGGAAACATCTTGGGAAAATCTTGGAAAAATCTTGGGAAACATCTTGGGAAAATCAGGGGAAAATCTTGGGAAAACCTTGGGAACATCTTGGGAAACATCTTGGGAAAATCTTGGGAACATCTTGGGACAATCTTGGGAAAATCTTGGGAAAATCTTGGGAAAAATCTTGGGAAAATCTTGGGACAATCTTGGGAACATCTTGGGAAAATCTTGGGAAAATCTTGGGAAACATCTTGGGAAAATCTTGGGAAAATCTTGGGAAAATCTTGGGAAAATCTTGGGAAAATCTTGGGAAAATCTTGGGATCTTGGGAAAATCTTGGGAAAATCTTGGGAAAATCTTGGGAAAATCTTGGGAAAATCAGGGGAAAATCTTGGGAAAATCTTGGGAAAATCTTGGGAAAATCTTGGGAACATCTTGGGAAACATCTTGGGAAAATCTTGGGAACATCTTGGGAAACATCTTGGGAAAATCTTGGGAAAATCTTGGGAAAATCTTGGGAAAATCTTGGGAAAATCTTGGGAAAATCTGGTATGATGGAAACACCCAGCAAAAATAGGGAATGAAAAGTGGAAAGAAAAGGAAAGCTATGGAAAGCTATCGTGTTTCTAGATGAGTCTAGATCGTGTTTTGGTGCAAGGTGTTCTGAATTCTTTGCTTGACACGAAGTTTTGGCACACTGAGGTATGGTGCGATGCGGATGGGAAGCATGAGTATACACTGAAACCTAACTGGACTGCCCAGCAGGCCAACGGGCGTAACAGTGATGAGTGGCCAGGGAGAGCACTTTGAGGGAGCTTTTCTGTTACGTAAAATCAGCCAGCGCCGATTTCTGGTGGCTTAACATGGTGCAATTTGATGAACATGATTTCACTCTTCAATGATTTTAAGTGCTTTGGTAAAAATGTTGGCATGTTGAGTGTCTGTAAGTCATGTCTTACAATTTGATGAGACTTTGATTTGATCACTCCGCTATTTGTAGAAGTGTTTCTTTGCGGGATGTGTGTCATGCTGAACGTAAATGGGTGTGTGATCCAGCTGTGACATCACTGGCTACAGGCAGATCTCTTCAAATATCGAGACCAGGTGCAGGTGAGAAGATTCGCCACTATGGTCGACTAAAGTGACTAAAGTCCGTAGAACCACATGGAATGCTTGAGAATAGCCTATGGTAATTTAACATGGCAATGAACATTTATCACTGCTTTCGATGGGAAAATATGGGATCATCATAAAAAAACTGGGTGATTTTGCAAATTGCAGTCAATTTGAAGGTGGCGATTGACACCGTGGTCAGCTTTATATTTACTTACGAACTTGGGCAATCCAAAGATGTGGTGAAATGAAGAGCTGGGCTTTCCCTGTTGAAGCTGGGCTCCAACAAGGCTCGTCAAAAGTCTTTTCTCGGCTGTACATAGTCTTCTCGCGCCGTTTCGGACACGCGACCCAGTTTTCTTTCCGCAGTTGGAAAAAAACACATGGGCTTCTGTCAGTCAAAGCTGTGCTTTTTTCGGGAGCCATTTGGTCAGAATCCGACACTGCTAGGGTAGGCAAGTGCAACAGCATCGGGACATGGATACCCTCTGGTAATTTAACATAACTATTGAAAATGGCCATTTATAGTGAGTTTTCCCATTAAAAATGGTGATTTTCCATAGTTATGTTAGTTTACCAGAGGGTAGATTTGGGTCTGAAAATCCGCGACCCCCAACTGCGCCTGGCGCCGGCTCAGCGGGGCGTTGAAAGAGACTCACATGGATCCTGGCAGTTTTGGTGCCCGCCAAAGGCCAGGTTGTTGAGATCCATTGAACCGCAATTTCCAAGGGGGGGCATGGGGGGGCATGGGGGGGCATGGATGCGAATCCAGAAAATGATGAAGTGGGGGTAGGGATCCCACGGGGTACCTTTCTGGACCTCATGGCTGGTGATGTTCGATTCTTTTTCTGTGACAAGAAAAGCTGAAATGCATGTCAAGTTTCAACTTTTTAAAATGATAATTAAGAGACATTAAAAATTTGAAGCGAAACGTAGAGTAGTGCAAAGCCAGTATCGTCCACAGGCGGAGTTTCCGGGCTGCTGGGCTGTGTCTGGGGCACAGCATGGCACAGCTTACGATTCCGAGGCATAGGTTTTGCATGGTTTTGCCAGCATGACATGATGCCCAGCTTGAGGTGTACAAAGGTTCAATCCCGTGTGAGAGACGCCATACTTGCGCGGCTCCCAAGGATTCTGTCGTCTTTTCTCCTTCTTTTGAAAGCTCGTTTGCTTGCAGGTTGCCAGGAAGTAACTCATACCTAGATCGAAGGACTTCCGACTTTTGTCGCCAAGGCCCACGTTAAACACGTGTGCAATTCGCTGCTACGCGCTGGTGCCCTCAGAAACAGGATGCACTTTGGAACGTCCTGAATACTATTCCTCCCCCTCCAAAATGAACGGCAGTTGGATTGGATTGTAACTTTGAGGCTATTTTCACGTATCCAGCAATAGTAGGGATAGTAAGATTAATATTAATATCTCTACTATAATACATATATATATATATATACATATATATATATATACATATATATATATATATGAAGGGGAGATTTGCGTTTGGACTTTTTGAGACCCAGCTACCTGGAATTTAGACCTGGTTACCTCGAATATAACATTATTCTTAATATAATATTAATAACTGCAATAGTCGTGGGGATAATGAATGATAATGATACATCATCCCCTCGTAATTTCAGATCCCCATCTCGGAGCCCAAGTCATAAGATCCAACATCTTCCAGCATGGGGAAACGATGAAACGAGCCCCCATCTATTGCCATGAGCTAATACAAAACAATAGAATAGTGAATTAATGTGGAAAACAACAGGGAACCCCCAATGTATAGCAATTTTTAAGCGGAAAATCATGTTCTAAGCATTTCTAAACCACTTGCAACGCAATGGGAGGCCCAAATTTAAAGAAAACCCCTATGTAGTGCTGTGCCTTGTGTTGTGTGTTCATGGAGCAGATGGGTCAACCCAAATTGTCCCAAATTTTTATTCCCCACATCACTGTGTGGTAACCTCTCACACCACGCACACCACCACTCATCACACAGCACTCATCTGACACCACTCATCACACAGCACACTCATCTCATACCCTTGCCACACAGCGGCTGGCTTTCGTGTGGCAGGCGCAGTACACAGAGCCTTCTGGAGGAGCTGCTGCGCGCGTGGGCGCCGCTGGGCCGCGGCTGGCTTTTGTGTGGCAGGCGCAAGACACAGAGCCTTCGGGAGGAGGTGCTGCGCGCGGGCCGCGGCTGGCTTTTGTGTGGCAGACGGGCTTTCGTGGGAAAGGTGCAGTACACAGAGCCTCCTGGAGGAGCTGCTGCGCGCGTGGGCTCCGCTGGGCCGCGGCTTTCGTGCGGCAGGCGCTGTGTGTAAACGTCGTTCCGGGTAGCGGGTAGCCGTGACAGGCGGAGACGCGAAAATTTGTGTTTCATGTTTGGATGTTGGGGCTTTGGAGGATGGTCTAGGTTCTGTTTGGTTTCTTGTCACTTTCACACATCATATTACATCACATCAGACACACATCACACACACACATCAGATACACACACACATATCACACACGCAGACACACACGTCTCTCAGTCAGTCGCCTCATCTCACTCAACTCAACTCAACTCAACTCAACTCAACTCAACTCAACTCAACTCAAGAAAGAAGAAAGCGAGAAAGGAGGAGAGAAAGAGCGAGAAAGAGCAAAGAGAGCGACAGAGAGAGAGAGAAGAGAGAAAGAAGAGAAAGAGCAAGAGAGAAAGAGAGCCAGAAGAGAGAAAGCGCGGCCGGCGTCGAGAAGAGCGAGAAAGAGAGAAAGTCAGAGCCCCTCTCATCCACCCTCTCTCCCTCTCGACCTCGTACTCTACCCTCTATCCCTATCTCCTCTCTCCCTCTCTCCCTCTCCCTCCTCTATCTCCCTATCCCCCTATCCCCTCTCTCCCTCTCCCTCTCTCTCTCTCTCTTTTTCAACTCATATCATTCAATCACCTCAGGCGAGCTTCAATCATCCACTTTGGCGAAATTGGTAACATGTGATAACGCGGCTGGCTTTCGTATGTCTGGCGGAGTAGCCAGAGCCTCACATAAAGAACTTATGTGCTGCATGTCTTCTGAAGAAGCTCACACAAAGCTTAGTTACAAAAGGCTTGACATGTGGGGTTATCCGGTCCTTTTATTTCTTGACAAATGACTGAGCATTTCTAGCACGAAAACATCATTTGTCGGAATTGAAGAAATAAGTTTCAGCTAGACTCAGATTCCAACGAATGTGCGTTTTGAATCTCAGGTAAGACGCTCAGAAAACTTTTGGGCTCTGTGAGGCAGGCGGCAGGGACAAAAGAGTATGCCAAGTAGGATCTCGCGGCAGCAGGGAAGTGCTGAAACTGAGGCCTTCCCCGAATTGGTTTGAGAGAAAATCAACAGAACCCCCCTACGTGCGATGGTAAAGACCAGGGTGTCCTGCAGATATTCCCCAGGTGGAGGATTCTGTAGTCCAGTGGCGCCAATGTACTTCAGGAGGATAGTAAAGAGCAGTGCTACTTTGACATGTCAATACATTTCAGAGATGGTTTTATAGTGCGCAAAACAGATCTATGAAGTGGGGTGGCAATATGCCGCATGCCTCATTTCATTTTTTTTTCCTCCCTCACCAGTGAAACAGTTGGTGGTGGTGTCCTGCTCGCTGCAGGTAAGAATGGTGGTCCTCCGCTCAGACATGCAATATGACCAGCAGCCAAGAGGTTATCAATATTTATTTGATTTATAAAATTTATCATGTTTGTTAGTGTGTTTACAATGTATTCAACATATTCCAGAATTCAGAGTGTGATCGCGTATGAATCGTGGACCAAGGAGCGCGGACCAACGCAGGCATGGGCACCAAGGACAGCGACCCTGGGATGAAGTTACTGAAGAGGTGTCCACAGACCTGACAAAAGAGCGTGGTTTGTGATGGTTTATGAGGGGTTTGTGATGATTTCTGAGTGTGGATTCTGGTGTAATGTGGGAAAAAATAATCTTAAAATAATTTGGGAATGGTTTATACGACCCATTTATGGTGATGACTGGGGGATGGTTTATGAAATTGTTTTACCTACATTAGACTATTGTAATGTATTATAACAGTTGGAAAATGATGGTTTATAATAGTTTATTGAACATTTATAATGGTTTATTAAGGTTTCTGATTCAATTTCTGGTGTGATTTCTGGATGATTCTGGTGTACTGAAGATTTTTGCCTGACACTTTTTTCCAAACCACACAAAGCGGAGGACCTCCACCGAAGATGCTCAGTTGAAAGTGAAGGCCGTGAAGCGGCGAAGCGGCGCGTGTGGGGGATGAGACCTGGCTCAGCTGGCCCTGGTTGCCAAATAACATGGGGATCATTTTTTGTCCTTTTCAAAAATCTTGATCTACATAATGCGTATATATATATAATAAAATAAAATAGCAAAATATTTATACATATATAATATAATATAATATAATATGATATGATATGATACGATACGATATGATATATAGTCAAATATAATATATATAATATATATATATATCATGATTTAATATATATATATACATTAAATTTTACAATATTATATATATATATGTATATATATATATTATATGTTTAAACATATATATGTTTATATATATATATATATGTTTATATATATATATATAAACGTTTATATATATATATATATCTATGTATATGTATATATGTAAATCATTAAAAAATATAATATAATATGAAATAATTTGATTTAATATAGTACAATATAATGTAATTTGATGTGATATGATATACGATATATGATATGATATGATATGATACAATATATAATAAAATATTTGATACAATACAATATAACATAAAATATAATACAATATAGTATGATATAATATATTTTAATATAATATATTTTAATATAATATAATATAATATAATATATAATATAATATAGTATAATATAACATAGTAAAATACAAATAAAATGTGGTGCAATATCATATTTAATTTAATAAAATGTAATATACAATATGGCACAATATAATATTTGATATAGTATAATATAATATATAATATTGTATAATATATTCTAATTTAACATCATATAATGCACCCTAATTTTACATAACATGCCATCGTATAACTTAACAAGACATAACGTGAGATAATTCAATATAATATAGTGTAAAATAATATAACATATTATAATACAATACAATTTGATATTATGATACAATTGTGTAACATAATGTAATTTGAAATAATATAGTTCAAGTTAACATAACATAACATAATATAACATAGTGAAAAATAACATCACATAACACAATATAGTATGATGTGGTATTATATACCATGATATATTATAATTTACTAAAATATAATATATAATTTATTTTAATATAATATTATATACAATAATTTAATATGATTTGATATGATATAATATACGATAACATAATATGATATAATATGATATAATGTAATATAATATAATACGATATAGTACATTATATGTAATGGGGACTCCATTTTTCGGACAAAGCCTAAATCACTTGTTGCGTTCCTGCACTCCAAAGGACAACCAAGGAGTTTACCAGTGGCATGGATTTTGTTGTGTATTTTGGTCTTCTGGCAGAAAGACAGTTGATTGCCTCCCCCAAAGACCTAATGGCCCATGACTTCGCTCGGGAGAGATCCCAAGACAACACAAGATAAACTGATGGATTTTGAGGTTCCAAATCTTCAGACGCAGCCATATCGTGTTATGTTGGTTACATATATGTATACATATATATATATATATGTATATGTATATCATCTGTATATCCCACAAAATATGAACATCTGCCTATTTTGTGGTTCCTGACACATGGAGCTCGAATCCAGGGGCGAGAAGACTTGAAGCGCACTGTCACGTTTGGACACCGACGACAGTCAGTTGGGATGGTGGATGGTATCACCTGGCGATGAACATTGAAGGGTAGGGATGGTAGGGATGGATTCAAACATTTTTTTTGTCTACCTCCAATGTTCTAAGATGATTACCCGATTTTCACGAGAGCAGGACGCTGTGGGAGTGCACATTTTCATTGTTTTTTCAAAACTGTAATCACATTAAAGCTTAAGCTGCAGACGAAGCTGTGTTCATGTCCACTAGAGAGCATGTATTGCTTGAAGAAGTGTCCAGGTGTTCACTCTACCTTAGATAAATGCTACTACATTGTCCCTTCAACAAGACACAATTTCTGCAGAATATGCTAGATGACTTCAACATAATTAGAACATCTCCATACCTGCCAACAAATGCAGTAATCAAAACAAACATATCCTTCTGAATAAGAGTAATCTTCCTTTGGGGCAATGCAGTGTGTTTTTGCAGGGACAATATCCAAACAAAATATGAAGTATTCCTTGAAAAGTTGCACCATGCCCTTTGAAGGAGTGCAGTGTGCATTTCCAGATGTCTAAACCTCCTTTTCAAGGAGCAGTACCCCTTTTACAAAAGCCAATATTTCTGCATGACATATGCAGTATTATTGACATAGGGCATCCCTTTCAAAAGTGCAATATGTTTGAAACTGTGAGCACTACCATATGTTCAAACAATGTTTGATTGTCTTAAGATTTAAAGATGCACAATCTTCAAATTACAATAGTTTTCAAGAGGGGAGCTGCCTACACCATGGGGTGTTATTCCCAAAATATGGTTCGTTGTCTTGGAAGAATATCACATTATGCATTCGGAAAAATGATGTGCAATTGTGAAAGACATATCTTACGTGCTTACATGTACCATGTGTTCTTCATTTAAGAAAATACATTGTGAAAAGGGCATTGCATGTGCAGGAGGGTTCATTTTTGACATAGAAGTAGACTAAGACATGACCTACTTCAATGGGATGCTCTACCGGGCTCTACCATATTATTTAAAAAAGCATTTGTTGAAGGAAGCACTCACTTCAAAGAGATGCATCACTCCTTTTCAAGGGACTCTTGCAAAGTGTTTGAACGTGTGCTAATCCAAGGGTTTGAGCCCAGAATGTCAATATCAAAATCAGTTCTACACATTCATTGGCTGCCTATGTTTTTGCATTTGTTCTCCAACCCATGGTTTAGCATGATTTTTCCCATGAAAACTGCCAGAAATGATGATCTTCATCATATTTGTCATCATTTTCCCAAGCATTTCATGGCCCCCTGGCCCCCTGGCCCCCTGGCCCGGCTAAAATTAATGGCCAAGCATTGGATCAGCCATCCCAAAGCCTTCCTCCAGATCCCCTGGATCCCCTGGGACTAAGGCCGACCTCGAGTGATGCTGCGACTTTCGCCACAAGTCTACGCGAAGCTGCTGCCGGCAAGGGCCTCAATGATGCCGAAAAGATGTAATGGTGATTTAGTGGTGATTTCAGGGGATATGTGGATTTTTTTTAAAATATAGGTATACCAAGCTTTGTGAATGATGAATGTAGATCCTTTCTCTTTGCAGTGCTTTTGACATACTCCTCTGATCATGTAGTCGCACTGCAACATTGGAGATAGAATCTTAGCCTCAAAGATGGTACGTTTCCAGTTTAGATTTGGCAACATGTTATGACAGCTACAAAGCAGAGGAGTAGAAAAATTGTCTTCCCCTTTGCAGCTTTGTGCTGGTTCTTTTGAACCCTTTTTAGTAAGCAACATTTCAAAGTTCCCAAACTGCAGGCTGGTCCATTCTAGTTTTACAATTCATCCCGTAGAGAATTACCACTTCTAGCTGGTTTTATCCTCATTTCTGCTTGCACCCATGCGCTTCCTGATGAGTTCAACCCAGAAGAACAAACCAGTAACACCTGAAACATCCCTATTTTGGGACTTTGTCCCGCATCTGTCCATTTGCCATAGGTTTCATAGGTTAGAGCCATCCTAACATTTGCAGCTTACCCTCTTGTTTAAGATATGGAAAATGTCTATGTCAAAATATGTTTCAGAGGTAAATCATCAGTCATTTTCCATGGCAAAGCGTTAGTTATGACCAGAGGGTAATCCTGACATTTTCGGCATTTCGGGTTGAGGTGAGCCGGGTCGAAATGCCCTGGCCGTCACGGAACAACGGAGTGCTGGAGGGCGGCCCAGCATCACCTCCAGCGATCAAGGTGCGACAGAATGCCCTTTAAAGGATGATGATGATGATGATGATGGTGATGATGATTATGATGATGATGATGATCATCATCATCGTTACTTGATATGATATTCAACCGATCATCATATAACAACTATCAGAAACAATTATATATATATATAATACATTTGGCGCCACCCGCCAGGTTCAAGGAGTCAGGAGAAGGGCGGCGAACTCGTGACGTCGCCTTCATCCAGTAGTGTGCTGCATTCCTACAAAGGAGCAGCAGCCTCGGAAAAGCTGATTTTTCATGGGGAATTAATGGGATTTAATGGGATTTATCCACGTTAAATGGGATATTTATGATATTTTATGATATGGCATGTATGTCTAGATTGAGTCAGGCTAATTGGGAACCACAGATTTCGTTGATTTTTGGTATGAAACCATGTATTGTTTGTAAAGTAATAGGAGCCAGCCCAATGACTTCGCATTTTTGGGTGGGACTCCAACCATCGATTTATATGGCTGGATTATGACATTGCTTTACTAAATCAAAAAATATGTGTTTTTTTGGGTCCCAAATTTGATTCATCCATCGATGGTTCGTCTCAGGCACCCTCTACAATGAAATCGAAGGCCAAGGGCAAATGGAAGGCCGAACTGCGAAGGGGACCTGGGGACGTCATTTTAGTCCATTTTTAGTATTAACCATATCTAACCATGTCGTATACTTGGAGTACCCAAATTTTGACCCACGAATTTGCAGGAGTATTTTTCAGAGGTCCATGGTTGTTGTCGGCAGTGCGCACAGTGGTGTGACCTTCGAGTGATGTCGGTCCAGACCTGAGCAACCCTGCAGAGGAAGATCGGAATGCTGTCCTAGGATGAATTGATAATAACTATTGAACTCATGCTTTTCCCAGCAAATGATGTATATATATATATATATATTTAAGCGCCCGCGCGCGACAGCCGGCCAGGGGCCCAACTATGTTGGCCCATCTTGTGGCTATGTTGGCCTATGTTGGCCTATGTTGGCCTATGTTGGCCTATCTTGAGGCCAAGATGGGCCAACATAGCCCCAAGATGGGCCAACATAGCCCCAAGATGGGCCAACATAGCCCCAAGATGGGACCACATTGCCCTCAAGATAGGCCAACATAGCCCCAAGATGGGCCAACATAGCCCCAAGAGAGGCCGCCGACCATCAAAATATCCTGCGTTTTACAGTGTTTTTTTGCTGTTCCCATTTTTTGGATCGTTTGGCTCAATATGAGTCAACATGGGCCAACATAGGCCTCAAGATCGGCCGACAGAGGCCTCAAGATCGGCCGACATAGCCTTCAAGATAGGCCAACATAGCCCCAAGGTTGTGGTTGTGGTTGTGGTTTGGGGTTGTGGGTTGTGGGTTGTGGGTTGTGGGTTGTGGTTGTGGTTGTGGTTGTGGTGGTGGTTGTTGTTGTTGTTGTTGCTGCTGCTGGTGTTGTTGTTGTTGTTGTTGTTGTTGTGGTTGTTGTGGTTGTTGTGGTTGTTGTGGTTGTTGTGGTTGTTGTGGTTGTTGTGGTTGTTGTGGTTGTTGGTTGTTGGTTGTTGGTTGTTGGTTGTTGGTTGTAAGGTTGTTGGTTGTAAGGTTGTTGGTTGTAAGGTTGTTGGTTGTAAGGTTGTTGGTTGTTGGTTGTTGGTTGTTGGTTGTTGGTTGTTGGTTGTTGGTTGTTGGTTGTTGGTTGTTGGTTGTTGGTTGTTGGTTGTTGTTGTTGTTGTTGTTGGTTGTTGGTTGTTGGTTGTTGGTTGTTGGTCGTTGGTCGTTGGTCGTTGGTTGTTGTTGTTGTTGGTCGTCGTCGTTGTTGTTGTTGGTCGTTGTTGTTGTTGTTGTTGTTGTTGTTGGTTGTATGTTGTTTGTTGTTGTTGTTGTTGTTGTTGTGTTGTTGGTTGGTGTTGTTGTCGGTGTCGGGGGTCGGTGTTGGGCGTGTTCTTACAGCTCGGTAGTGTGGCCCGGCTTGGGACGCTTGTGATGTGTGGTTTGTGGTTGGTGCTTTGTTCTTCGTGGTTTGTCGTTGGTTGTTCGTCGTTTGTTGTTCGAAGTTTGTTATTTGTTGTTTGTTGTTGGTGGTATTTGTTAGTGCTTTGTTTCTTGTTCGAAGTTTGTTATTTCTTGTTTGGTGTTTGTTGTTGTTGTTGTTGTTGTTGTTGTTTGTGCTTTGTCGTGTGGGGTGTGTGTGTGTGCTATGTTGGCCCATCTTGGGGCTATGTTGGCCTATGTTGGGGGCAATGTGGGCCCATCTTGCGGCTATGTTGGCCCATCTTGGGGCTATATTGCCCAGCTTGGGGCCTATGTTGCCCCATCTTGAGGCTATGTTGGTCCATCCTGAGGCCTATGTTGGCCCATGTTGACCCATCTTGAGACAAAAGATCCGAAAAAGAGGAAACAGCAAAAAACACTCCAAAACGCGGTATATTTTGATGGTCGGCGGCAGGGGCGGCAGCCCCTCTCTCCTTCGGAGAGGAGAGATGCCGTACGGCAAGGATACGGCCAGCTCCGGGCCCCGCGGGCCCTGGCCGGATTTAAGCGCTTACGCGCGACAGCCGGCGCTAACGTCGCTTTTTGAAGCCACCAGAAAATCTCTTGGAAAGCGGTATTGCGCTGGGCAGCCGGGCAGCCGGAAAGTTGTAAAAGGCGCTGGCAAGGGCGCCGGGAAGGGTTTAAAGCCAGGCTAGTGCCTAACGTCGCTTTCTGAAGCCACCAGAAAATCTCTTGGAAAGCGCCCGGCAGATGGCCCAAGGATTGCGCTAGGCAGCCGGGCAGCCGGAAGGCTGCAAAAGGCGCTAGCAAGGGTGCCGGGAAGAGTTTAAAGCCAAGCTAGTGCCTAACGTTACTTTCTGAAGCCACTTGAAAACCTGTTGGAAAGCGCCCGGCAGATGGCCATGGCGCTGGGCAGGCGCCAAGCTACTGCCTAACATCGCTTTCTGAAGCCATAAGGCTTGATAATGGCACTTTTTCTCGGGCGCGCTCCCCCTGCAGATGGCTGGGGTCGGCATATATATATATATATCTAGCTAGCTAGCTAGCTAGCTAGCTAGCTATCTATCTCTATCTCTATCTCTATCTCTATCTCTATATCTATATCTATATCTAGTATCTATTTCTATATCTATTTCTTTTTCATATACATCTATATCTATATATCTATATATCTATATCTATATCTATATCTATCTATATATATATATATATATCTAAGATCTAAATATGTTCATGGATTTTATAGATTTTCATAGCTTTTCCATATCTGTCTCCACTCAAAACCCAGGGCTTTTGGCTTCTCCGGCCTCGGTGCCAGGCGTTTGCGCATGGCGTTGGAAGGCGATGTTTAGCTGTTTAGCCGTGCGGGATTTCATCACACATGGCTTGCGGGAAAATCCACCATTTAGATGGGATTCTATGGGATTCTATGGGAATATATTATGAATATATGGGAATATATGGGAATATATGGGAATATATGGGAATATATGGGATGATAGATTCTATGGGATTATATGGGATTCTATAAACTAGATTATATGGAATTATTGTTAAACTAGATTATAGATCTGGGGATATGGGGGTTTCCTAAGTCATGGGGGTACCCCAATAGCTGGAATGTCCTATACTTGAAACTTCAAAAAGAAAGGATTTTTTGGGTAACCCTATTTTAGGAACCCCCCTGTTTTTGGATATTATCCCATAAAATCTTCTGTTGAGTTCGGGGACTTCCAATCGCCAGGTTTAATTACCAAAAGGCACTAACTATTTAACAATGGCTAGTTAATAGTTTAACATTTAATCAATTGATTCCATTATTTATATACTAGTATATTATATATATATGGATTATATGGATATAGATATAGGGATAGCTCCCCACCCAGTATATAACAGTTCAAAAATGGTTTTGTACTTGAAAACCTATTCAAAAAAAACCACCAGAAATGAACCCCAAAATGGTCTGCATAAACGGTTGCTGTGGTCAATTTGTTCTCTTTGACCAATCTTGTGCCAACTTCTTCACTAATTCGCCCTGTGCCAAGTGCCACACCACCCTCCACCCCACATACATCCACCTCCAGCCCTCCTCGCTTTGCACCAGCTACGAGCACAATTTTGAAGAAAAAACACCAGATGAACACACATTTTGCACCCGTTAGGAGCACCGTTTTGAAGAAAACAACGCCAAATCCAGCTAGGAACACCATTTTAAGAAGAAAACAACGCCAAACAAGAACGCAATTTTCAAGGTGAAAAAACACCAGACTAGCACACACATTGCACCAGACAAATTCGAAGAAAACACCATCTCGGTGTGGAACAGTTTTTTTTAGTTTTCTAGGTCTGCTCCAGCTCCAGTAGGCACCAAAGCAAACCCAGTATCTCTCAGTATCCTGCAGTGTATCTTCTCATAGTGCCGCAGCACTACCTTACCATCTTTGTTCCTTTGTGTATGTGTGTAAAACTCAAAGATGTAGAAGGGAAACTTGTCAGTGCCCTATATCCCATTCTTAGGGATAAAAGGGACATACCAATAAAGGGTTTCCACTTATTCTTCATAATTGGGATAAATCATGATATTGATAATGGTTCCAAAAAAACACTATTAGATGGGACTAATAACAGTACACATGGTTAAACCAATTACTGTTCTGTAATAGATGTTAGTTGGTTCACAAAAATATGTTTTCAATTGATGGGGATGAACAATGACAATGTCCAGGTGATTAACATACCAATTATAGGTGGGATTCACCAACAAACGTGGTGGTGGAATGGGATGACATCCGGATTACCCATCAGAATATTAATCATCAGAATACCATTTGTAGATGGGTTTAACCAACAAACATGGTGGCACAATGGGACAAGATTGGGATATATTATGATGACCTTTTAGCGCTGTCACTGGAATGATGGTTGCTGAGTGAAGCATCCCCGAACAGCTTGATTTCAGGGAAGCAAAATCAAGCCAGGTTGAGAAGATGATATCATTAATTATTTTCTGTTGATTGGAGGGCTGGCCTTGATTACATGTTTGCTTTGTTGTTTCTTGTTTTGAATTGTGTTTCTGTGTTTCATGTTGAAAGCTTGCTTTCATCACCTGTGCTTGGCTTTTTGTCTTACCCAGAAACTTGTTCGCAGGGGGGAGGGGCCGGGTCCGCAAGGCCTTTTTTTTCAGGTTGGTGATAGTTGCCATAGTTTATCCAGGCCATGATGGTAGACAATCAACACTTGTTTATATATGATGATACACAGATTAGATATCATTTTCAACCTTTTTTAACCAGGCCATCATTTTTCAGGAGATGGTTTTGTTTCAACCATCAAGATTTTTCAAGGGTCCGTTTTGATGATGACGAGGGCTATTACCCGGTTATTACTTGGGGACTGTGCTATGGCTATGGCAATGACTATTATTACCCATGAAATGGTAAGCCCTTGTTGAATCAGCCACAATTAATTGGATGATATGCACAGGTGAGATGCGCAGTATTTTGTATAGTCTTAGGGAGGTTTCCATCGCTGATCATCAAGGCCCACAGCAATTAGTCACACATTCGGCAGGCTTTGCTCATGCATTGCCGAGAACAAAGCCTTCGTTTTCGTAGCTCGGTGAAACGAAAGGATTGGGTTGGTTTCCTCAAATATCTACAGGAACCCCGAATTTGGGATGGTACAAACATCCGTAGTCATTTCCGTGCGTTTCCACGCGGCTCCAGCACTGACTTTTTTTTAGCACGGGCTGGTGGCTGGAACGGCACCTCGGATTGGTAGATCAAAATGATCAAAACACAACAACTTGGCTAAGAAGGGTGGAGCTGTAGATGACATGGGAAAATTGGGAAATGCAAAAAATGCAAAGCTGTTGAAATGGCCATCTCTGAATAGACCTTCGCCGGTGAGTTTCTGCTGGTGAGACTAAAGAAACTTGCAACAATTGCAACAAGTATTTTCCACAAACAGAGGAACCCAGTAATCTGAGAATAGTACACCGCAGATATAAGTGAACAAATCTTACCTAGCTCATTAACAGCTAGGGTTTTCTCACCTATTCGTCAACTGGGATGAGCCACCAAGTAGGGATATTTTGTCACAAGTCCTTGTCTTTTGAACTGAGCTACCATCCCCAATTTCTGGATCAGAGGTCGGTCGGTGCCATTTTGATGGGGACTTGATGATGATTTTGTTGGGGATTTTGGGCATTCTCAGACCCACAGCCGTTGGAGGTTGGAACCTTCATCACCGTGTGGGCTCTGATAGGCCTGGGAAACCGGAAAAGCCAGGTGCCAGGTGAAGTCTGTGAGATCAGGTGACGATTTTTTCATTTTTGAAGTTTTTTTTTTTCTGTTTTTTTTTCAGATTTTGTTTCCAATTTCTGATTTTTGTTCAGATTTTGTTTCCAATTTTGGCCCAAAAGGGATCCTTGAAACTGCTTTCCAGCGACGCAGGAGATGACTTGAAACTGCTGGTCACCAATCGACCCGTGGATAATATCTTCGATGGCCTGGTGGTGTTTTGCATAGCAACTTGCCATTGACCAGGAGATGCCAGATGAGAGGAGAGGTTTAGTTGAAAACATGGTGAAAAATGGTAACAAACAGGCAACACATGGTCAGAACGGCATCTGGATGTGCAGATATCAGCTGATTTTTCTGATTTTTCTTTGTTCATCAGGTATTCTTCACCTTGGAGGTGCTGGTGTGCAGCCTAGGCAGGGTAGCACTTCGTAGCACTTCTTCATGGCTTCGTTTTGCTTCATTCTGGTGGCCTGGGTGGTGCCAGGCAAAGACGACTATTTTATGAGCTTCTTCTTCTGCCTTGATGCCAGAGCCACAGTAGCCACAGTAGCCCAGGTGGCCACAGTTTTTTTTTTCTTTTTTTCTTGGTGTTTTTTCCCCACCTGCCAGGTGAGGGTCTGATTTTCAGAAAGGTGCGGCTCCTTCCTTCCTCTTCGTCCTTCTTCTTCCTCCGTCGTCCTCCGCGTTCCAGCTCGTCGTCTCTGTGGGCACCAACGAAGCCGGACTCACAGCAAGCACCAGAAGCTCATGGCGAGCTTCACTGCAGTCTGGGCACATGCGACCTGAGAACTATCGCAAGCTCCACGGCAGTCTGGGCACACACGGACCCGAACCCTAGCGCAAGCTCTAGATCAGGCTGGGCACACGCGGACCCGAACACATGCCAGAAAGAATGTCGGAATACACGCCTCACGCCAGATAGAATGTCAGACTAGATGCCAGACAGGATGCGAGAGAGAATGTCAGACTAGATGCCAGACAGAATGCCAGAATGAATGCCAGAATAGATGCCAAATAGAATGGCAGAATAGATACCAAAGAGAGTGCCAAATAGAATTGCCACAAAGAAATGTCAGAAAGAACGGCAGAATACATGCCAGAAAGAACGCCACATAGAATGTCAGAATAGATGCCAGAGAGAATGTCGGAATATATGCCAGAAAGACTGTCAGAATATATGCCAGAAAGTGCTAATTTCAAAAGTCCAGGTCAGTTCAGGAGAAACGGGACCCTTATTTTTTGTAGATGTGCTAAGGTCAATCTTGTAAGTGACATGGCAAATCCTGAAATGAAATGTGATTGAGACTGCGTGTTTTTGTTGCAGTGGTGACGCGTTGACTCAGCATGTTGAAACGTAAAAATTGTTGAATTGTACTTGTCTTCAGTTGTTTTTCGTGTCATGTTTTACCCACATCTACATGGCTGAAATCTTGGATTGCCACATGTGATTGGTGTGAGTAGAGCCGTAATCTATATGAGCCTGGTTGAGCCAACTATTATATAGAGACTTGTCCAGCGAAATTGGTTGTTTCGATACAGTCACTTCACTATGGAACCGCTTGATGCAGTTTTGAAACTGTGATGCACATCTCAGAGACAATCCGCCCTTTACAAGTACCTCAAAAAGTATGGGCGCCTTTTCAGATTGAACTTTCACCAAAAAGCAGGACTTTGGAAATTTAGCGCCAGAAAGGATGCCAGATAGAATGTCAGAATAGACGCCAGATAGAATGCCAGAAAGAATGTCAGAGTATATGCCAGAAAGAATGTCAGGTAGAACGTCAAAATGTATCTGTATATGCCATATATAATTCCAGATTATACATAAATCAGAAACTATGTGAGAATAATTGATTATGAATCATCATTTGCAGAAATAGGGGATTGATTATAGATGATTGTTATCAATCTACCAAGTTATCTAGGGTTAGGGCTGTTCTCTCCTAGGACTCATCAACTGGGAAACCCCTCGTTTGAACCGGCCAGTGGCTCCTGGACGACCACTGGTTGGTGGTTCCATTTCGTTGGCCCAGGCAGTTCAATCAACCAGATGATTCAGGTTTTTATACATCTCCATTTTGGTTGGTTACGAGGTATAGCTTCATCAAATATTCGTCTTTACCTTCCCAAAATGGACCACATAACTATGAATATATATATATATATGTATGTATGTATGTATATATATATATATATGTACAATTATATATATATATAGATGTATATATATACATATACATATACACATATATATATATATAGATCTATGATATGGGTTCTTCGTCCTAATAGGCACAGTGATAGGTATGGCACACAGCTCAGGTCTTGTCAACCTTGACACTCTTCATGGATCTCACAGTGGTGCAGCTGCCGTGTTTTGTCCGTGTTTCCCGTGTTTCGTGCGAAGAGATCAGCAGTGGAAGTGGAATATCCAAAGATGGGATACCCTCTGGTAATTTAACATAGCAATGGAAAATCACCATTTATAGTGAGTTTTCCCATAAAAAATGGTGATTTTCCATAGTTATGTTAGTTTACCAGAGGGTAAACATATTCCACCTATACCAAATTTTGTTCCGTTTATACCCAATCATTGCCGGTGAATGTGGGGCATATCTACCACTTCAGCGGATTGATTTTTATACAACCTTTGGGGACAGCCTTGGGTAATTCAGCATCAAAATGGCTGTTTTAATCCATCAATTTTGGAGATGCTTTCCGCAACCTTTGAAAATGCACCCAACCCACATCACCATCGGCTGATGACCTTCCACAATCCTATTTTCCCAGAAATTAAGGGAACAACGACAGGAACTTGTCTATACTTTATAATGTATTGTTTGGTTAAAAACGATGGTTTTCGGATTTTCGTGGAACAATCCATTGATGACGCCAGGTGTCAGAAGCCCTCTTTGGAGACAGCGACTCTGACCCCAGCAACACCAGAACCAGCCGGACCGGGGGCACCCCAGTTTCGTGTCATCGCTGGGACATCCGGAAAATCCATTCTGGTGGCTGGGGCATCAATCCCCAGCTGTTTGATCACCATGGAGTCACCCCAGGATCACAACATACAACCAGTTACTACCAGGTTAACCAGGTCGATCAAAAAGATAGCTTATGAATCATAGCCAATCAACAAGGATAGCTATTGAATGGCTCAAATTTCTGGTCCCGGTAGATTCGTAGATCCCCAAGATCCCCAAGTTTTGAAAAACCTCCGACTCCCGACTCTGCACGGAGCCAGGACGGCCCGTGTTGGAGCCAAAGTCGGGCGAATCGTTCGAGTGCTGCGCTTGATTCGAATTGTGCCAAGCTCGGTGCGATGATGGGATGATGGAGGTGATATATTTACTGCGACGAGGATGGTTAAAACTATTAAATTTGCTATATTAATTGCGAAGAACTATTATTATTACATATTACCAATTGTTAAATTTGGAACAGGAATGGAACAGGTATCATTCTTGTGTTTTCTATTTTACTAGTAGATCCTATTTATAACTATTGCTGATGTTATCATGATCTTTTGTTATTGATACTATGTTTATGGTTGGACCATTCTGATCTCCGGTCGTCTTTGTTGGGCAACAAAAATGACCTGGATTTTTGTGGGCAAAAACCACTGGTTGTCATGGCTTCACCTTGGATCCCAGGTGAAGCTCTTTAAAGCTTTTCTGGCCTCTTCGAAACCCAAGTCTGGTCACCTGGAAGACCACTGGTCGGGGGTACTGCTCTGGTACCTCACTGGTCATTGTTTAGCACTTTTTAGCATCCATTTTTTGCATTTTTTTGGGTCACTCATTTCGAGCTACTTTTTTGAGATCGGCGATCTTTCGATGGGAGTGGCTGAGAATTGTTGACCGATCAACATGGCGATTTTTGTGGTGCATGGGCAGCCCGTATTTTCAGGAATAGATTCCTTTGAGCTGCGCTAGTGTGTGGCAAAGTGTTTCCATGTTGATTGCGAGCAGTAGCCCAAAAATGAGAATCTACCCCTAAATATATTATATGGCCTCTTGAACTGGCGAAAATGATGGTCAAGGATTTGTTGGGTTTCCCATTTTCAGCCAACCGCACGTTGGTGAGAATTTATCGCCAACAATTCACTATTATCAAGCACTACTGCAGTATCAATCACCATTAACTATACCGTTGATTGACAAACGCTATAGTGTACTTCTAAGATCTATCACACACTTCTCTGCCCCTAATGTGTCTACACACTCTACGCCAGCACAACTCAGCGTCTGGGTCGAAATAACGAATCTTCTGCCCTTGCCTGGCAATTGTAGCGTCAACCGGGGATTGAAAAACCCTGGTTTATCGGGGTGCACCCAAATCAATCTGCTATGAAAATGGTACTCCCTACTAATGCACTGGGGGTTTATTAATCCTGGGCTAACGTTCCAGTGCTTCGCCAGAACCCTTTAGACGTCGAACATCACGATGACATTTTCTGCATTTCAACTCAGAGCCTTCTGCATCCTGGAAGCTTCACCTTTTTGGGTTGTGCTGTTTTTGGTCCCTGCTCAGGAAGAAGCCACCCAGAGATCGACTGTCCATGGCAGAAGAAGATGATGATGACAATTTTCCGGAAGAAGAGGAGACAACTTCCCCTCTGGTAAACTGCCACATAACTATGGAAAATCACAATTTTTAATGGGAAAATCCACTATATATAAATGGGCCATTTTCAATAGCTATTTTGACATAACCAGAGGGTATGGCAGACACACCAAAAGTCAGTGGCGTCCTGGCGTCAAGTTGGGTTGGAACCTCTTGGACCGATGGACCGATGGTGAGATCTCCGCAGGAACACTTCGACAAAGAAAGCTTAGTCGGGAAGAAACTTTCGGTCTCCTGGCGCGACGTTGGTTTAAAGGCTCAGTGAACTTTCCTAGTCCGTTTCTGCCTGTTTCCCAGAGATGAACATATTCTCCAAAATTGATATTATCCAATAATCGATCCGGATTTCTGGATCAATGTTTCTTCAGCTCTTTGGTCGACTCCCTACACCATGATGTGTCAAGAACATTCGAGCAGTGATGTCACGTTGTGTCACAGCCATTTTCCCAAACTTTGCAGCAGTTACTCATCCCCAAAGCACTCCCGAGGCAAAAATGACGCAACGGACCATCATTTTGGTACGCATCAGATCTGGGGGAACTCTGGTTGGTGATGAAACCAGTAGAAAAGGATATGTCGGACATACTGAAAAAAAGGAAACAATCACCTGATGTTAGTCCCTGCCAAAAATATCGATTTTGACCCCGCGCCATTGTCCCGGTATTGGGGATCTTTCCACCAAAATTTCCGTGATGGTTGGGTAAATCCCAGGGGACAATTTATGGGAGACTTAGAAATAACTTCTATATTTCATAGGATCACAGAAAAAACGGACAAAACGTTTCCAACAGAGGTTGGGACATGTTGACATGTTCCATTTTTGCGGATTTTCAACATCACTTGAAAAAGTATCTGTTGGAGATTATATCCCCTTTTTAGTTGTGTGATGTTTAAAATCCGGACATTTAGCCCCTGGTAAACTAGCATAATTAGCTGTTGAAAAGTGCCATTTATGGCTATTTATAGTTGATTTACCAATGAAAAATGGTGATTTTCCATAGTTATGTTAGTTTACCAGAGGGTACCATCATTTACCAGCCCCAGTCCAATGATTGCTTCAATTTTTGTTTGAGTTCCCGGTCATCGGCTCCATCGCTGGAAAAAAAAATCACCCAGCAATAGTAGTTCAGATAGGGATTTCCCAGCCAGCCATGTTTGATTACCAGAGGGTATGATTATTATATAGAAATTCTCTACTATTCTTATCCACACTATCTGATATCTATTGTTATCTATATATAGTATATTATTGTCATAGGCATAGGTATAAGTATTAATCTAATGATCTATTCTTCTTATTGCTATGATCTAGTCTATGATCTATTGGTATCATTGGGTAACCCCAAAAGACTTGGCTATCCATGAAACCATCCATGTAGGGCTTGCTGCATGATCATCCCGCTGGCTTTTTGATCGAAGCTGAGACAGCGCCGTTCCAACGGCGGGATACGCCACCGGTGCGTATCGACGACTCGGCACCCCAGGGGGCGTAGATGGTCTACGGCCCGAAAGAGGACAGAAAAGTGCTTGGTGTTTCGGGACAACTTGCCATGATGTCTGGTAATTTTGAAGTGATAGTGGGTTTTCGACTTTTTCGACCAGATTTTTGTGTTTTTTGATGGGCGCACCATGTTTGGAAGAAGCTGCCAGGGGTGAGCGCCAGAGCCACCGACAGGGCGAGAACCAACAAAGCAACGTGCACGAGCCGTACCTGGGCAATCCATTTAGGGTCGATGTAGCAGTTCATGGATCATGATCATCCGCAATAGATATATATATATACATATATATATATGTACATATATATACAATATACGTATATATATATATATGTACATATATACACAATATACGTTTTTTTTTTTTTTTAAATGTATATATATATATAGAGGGTAGGTTAATAAGCCGTGAGACAATCATCAACCAAGCATTTGTAATTTTTATGCTCAATCTTCAAGAAATCCTCATTTGATTCTTAGCCGCCTTAGCCCCCTACGAGTCATTGTCAGCAGCCGTTGCGTTTTTAGAAAGGACACCTTGGTGAATCCGATCTCTACCCCAGGATTGGGGATTGGAAATCATATGACTGGGACCATAGCATGGAGTTTTTTTTTTTTTTTGGGGGGGGGCAGTTTTTTTTTTTCAGGAGAGTGTGGAAATCAACAAAATGATAGTTTTCAAACATTGAAGCATAGTATGGACAATTGAACTGATGAATTATTCCCTAATATGGGAAACACACTATCAGTTCATAATATTTCTTAGACCAATTGGGATAGAAATTACAGTTGAATGTATCCCCAGACTAAAGTTCCAATACCCATTACCCATTGAGATTCCTTATTGGGATTCATTATTCCTTTTACCCAGTATTGAATCAGCTTAAGTCAATTGGGATTAATGATATGTTTTTAATTATTATGCGGATTAATACCATTGTTATGTTATCCCATGCTCTTTGTATGAATTCCAATGCCAATGGTGTTAATTGGTTTATGAATCCATTAACTATAGTTATATCCCACCAATCAACAACATTTACCCAGGTGATGTGCGTCGCTATCAGAAAAAAAAGCTCGTTGAGATCCCACGAAGCCCCCCTTTTTTTGGTGAAATCAGCACCAAGGCGATGCTATTGGGTGCCCTGGCGAGTGCGTTTTGGCCACAGCCGAGCCAACAGTCCGGTGTCCTGGGAGATTCCGGAGCAACGATGTTCAGCTCAAAAAATCCACCAAAACGGACTGATGCTGTGGCATTTAACGGCACTGTCGCTTTTTATATCTACCATATATATATATAAACTTATATAAACTTATATAAACTGACGTCGTTTTCCCGTGGGTTAAACACCGGTGTCTTACACAAAATCGCCCTTTTGAGACCCGATGGCTTCATGGCCCTTAGGCTTTGCTGCGCGGAGAACAATCATCCAGGCCAGCAGTGGTTGGTCGTTGTGGTGGGTGATTGCCATTTTTTATGGGAAAATGATGGGAAAACCATGGGAAAATGGTGATTTATATGGAAAATATATGTTTTTTGAATTCACTCCCAGTGGAATAGTTCATCGGCGCTTCTCCCGCGCGATTCCGAGGAGGAATTCTCCTTATTCTCCTTCTGGAATCCCAGCAACTGCTGACTCAATCTGAATAGTTGATGTTTTCTGAATACTGACAGCTGGGTAGTTGGGTTAGAAGAAGAGACCGATGATCTGGATGAATTCTGACCGCAGATGGTGGGCAACAGAAAGTGGACCTAGGAATTCAAGTGAATTAGTGGATTATTGGACATTAAGTCTATGATTGATCAGCAACTGGATTGTTTTACCAATGTATTTAACATTGCAACGATGTTATACTATTGGAATGCTGCTTACTTACCTCCAAGCAATGGTCATGCTCAAGGAATCTTTCCCAAATTCAACAAGATTCCAAAAAGCATCAAGAAGCAAAACATATACTGTATATTATCCCAACTATATCCCCTTCATAGCCAATATACATATATAATCATATATAATCATATATAATCATATATAATCATATATAATCATATATAATCATATATATCATATATAATCATATATAATCATATATAATCATATATAATCATATATAATCATATATAATCATATATAATCATATATATATATTATTATTATTATTATATCCACAGATATCCCCAGTATATCCCCATGATGGCAGTCATCCGATAGTTCTCCTAGGGCCTGAACTTCTACTCACACGTCCGGATCATCTTGACCATCGTGAGGCAGGGTGTCACGCAGGGTGTTACGACGTGTCACGATGAGTTGGGATTGGGTTGGTAGCCTTGGTAGCCAGCCGAATTTCGGAATCCCAATTTTCAAACAGAAGTTGAGTGATTGAAGACCTCCAAAGTTTAGAGGTGTCCAATCCTGGAGGATCGGCCCTTTTTTTTTCATCCTTCTGAAAAGGGATTGGCCATGAAGAACCATCCATTCAGCTATTGGGGATCCTGCAGATCCCCCATCTGGCAGCTTCCAGGCGCCGAGTGGGAGCTGCCCATCTCATTGTGATGCGCACAGCTGCGAGCTTCACTTCGCGCAAGGGGCTCCGCCCGGGGCCCAAGGGCCCAAGGGCCCAAGGGCCCAAGGGCTGTGCCAAATGTCCTTTTTTTTTTTTCATTTCGGTCACATCTATTTTTGAAGAGAAAAGTTGAGATATTCTGGGGAAAACCACTTTGGATATACAAGAACATGTATATGTATATGTTATATGTTTATGTATGTATGTGTATATGTATATGTATATGTATATGTATATGTATATGTATATGTATATGTATATGTATATGTATATGTATATGTATATGTATATGTATATGTATATGTATATGTATGTATATGTATGCGTATATGTAGAGTTATATATGATAGTGTAATCATGAACAAAACATTGCTGTCACCTAATCTGGGAGACTATTCCCTAAGATGGTTTCATTATCAGCAGCATTTGGCACAGCATCGAGGCAAACGGATGACGAAGTGAGGCCTCACGAGTTTTGGTCCGATGGGAAGCCCAGAGATCACAAGCGATGGCAATTGTGCATGCAACAGGAAGTTCAACCATGTTTTGTTGCTGTTTCTTTTGAAAGGTGTCGATATTTTCCATCCTCGGATGATGATGATGATGATGACGACGATGACGATGACGATGACGATGGCAATCCGTGTAACTTGCAAACAAAGTATCTATTCGTCTCCCATTTTATGGGAGGATCATCCCGCGGTGAAGGCACCCCAAGTCCACTGGTTTTTCATGAGTTTTGCCCATTTCGATAGACCCCCCAGTTGTATTCCTATCTTATATTCTCCATTTCTATACCACTAATCCAGTCTTTTCGGTTCATTGCAAGCCCATTGATATACGCATGTCTATACATATAATATTTTTCCATCTTTGCTAAAAGACTTTTTGCATCTTTTTGCCCATTATTTTGTGTGGTCTCAGATCCTGTCTACGCATTCTAATGTGGGTACAATAATAATCACCCATGACTGGGAATGGTTAACATTCCACCTATGAAAATGGTCATTGGGAGGGGTGGTTTATTCTTGTTTTACCCACATCCGATTTTTTCTCCTTTTTTGGTGGTGAACCCCAGGATGGGCGGCGGGACCCGTCTCAGCCATCACGCTCGCCACGCTCGCGGGCCACGACCTTCTGCGCGGCGGTGGAAGGCGAGGTCGTGCAGGCTATAGAGATCTATTTTTCAGATCTTTGGGGGTACCCCCATTTTAGGAAACATCTGTATATGTACCCTCTGGTTATTTAACATAGCCATGGGAAATGGCCCATTTATAGATGGTTTACCTATTAAAAATGGTGATTTTCCATGGCTATGTTAAATAACCAGAGGGTATATATATATACACATAATATGTGGGTAAATTTGATCACGACCTCACTGTTCTCCTCAGAAATGATGGGAATTCTAAGGGATAACTATCCCAAGAAGAAGCCTTATTTCAGGTTTGTGAAGTATTATAGTTTACCCATACGTATATATATATATATATAGATCTATATCTATGTACATGGGCATGTCTATGATCTAGTGTATAGAGAAGGAAATATATCGAGAAGAATATATGGATATAATCTACGTACTCTTTCTTTTTGATATACATGTATACAGACTATGTATGTATGTGCATATATATACACATACACAAGTATATAACATGTATATTTACACGAAGAATTCACCGCAATTGCTGTTTGAACATGTTGCATATGGCGAAAGAATATATATATATGTATATGTATATATATATGTATTGGATGTACAATGGAAAGTACAAATGCACCTTGATCTCTGGAGATGTGTTGCTTGCTGCCGATACTCGCCTGAAGGCGATGATGACTTCGAATTTGAGGAGGCGAACTTGGAGACTCGACTTTTCGTTTCCCATGGATATTTTTCTACGAAAACATAGGAACATATGGGAACATCATGGGAACATAATTCAGTAACCATATGATTGGACATATTCATGAGTAGCAACCCTGTTTGGTGTTGGTTGAATCGCTGCTAATGGGGGTGCACTTGGGGTTGTTGATAGATATATAAGTTGGGATATAACCATGTTCATATTTGTACATAATTACGGTTGCTGGAACCCCCAAGTACTAGGTAGATGACGACATCCAATTTGATGGTTTAAACAGTGTAAACAGTGTAAACAGCTTAAACAGTTTAAACAGTTTAAAACAAGATTTTGGCAATCTCAAAAATCGCAAGCATTGGGGGTTTAATAGGTTTAATAACTCATTCATTGGGGCCAAAAAAAAATCTCTATATGTTTGAAACAAAAAAATCGGTGCCTTCCTTGCCAGGACAATGGCCTGGCGGTTGCCTATCCTACTTTGGACACGAAAGGGTTCGGGACCCAGCTATGGCCAGCTGATGGAAGGGCCAGCTGCATTTTTTTGATGGTTAAGCATCATTTTTTCATTATGGCCATTGGGGAAATATAAGTCCCCCTCACGAACCAGATTGGCATGGGGGCTCTCAAGCTAAAAGCCACATTTTCACAGCCAGATTGGGCATAGTTGGTCGTATACCGTATATCCCATAAGATATCCCCATGAACATGTCATCAAATTACATCGTTTTGAGTGATTTTCAGACACACCCACATCCATGATTCATGGGTAAAATTCCTCCTTCGCAATGTTCCATGCAATCCTGACGATGCTCCGGTTTTCTAAGTCATGTGTTCCCCCAGCAAGCTGTCGATGCACTGGCCTTTTTTTCAGTCTCAGCATCTGAATGTCCAGCAGTAGTAAAAATCCAGTGATCCAATCATGTCTCTGAAGAATCAAAAACCCTGGATGCGCATGGCAAATATGAAGCCTTCTGAACCCCCAATAATCGGTATGCTGTGGTTATTGAGGTTTACTGAGTTGACGGTTCCATGGTGGGAGATTTGATCCCAATAGCTTGACATCCCAATAGCGGTATATAGCGGTATGGTTGGTGCGTCAATGTTTGAATCCCTTGCTTGACATCACCATTCTTCATGGTCAAAAAAGTAAAAAATCGGCAGAAAAGAAGCACCACCGTCCCGTTGTATCCAATTAAATCCCATGGTAAAATTTTTATACCATTACCCTCTGGTAATTCAACATAGCGAACTGGAAAATCACCATGCTATTAATGGGAAAATCCACTATTTCGACTGGGCCATTTTCAATAGCTATGTTAGTTTACCAGAGGGTAATTTATTCACCATGATTTATAGCATTATCCCATTATCCCATTAACTATACCATTATTTATCCCAGAAAGTCCCATTAATTATACCTTTTTTTAAAAAATTAATTATACCATTATCCCATTAATTATCCCATTAATTATCCCATTAATTATCCCATTAATTATCCCATTAATTATCCCATTAATTATCCCATTAATTATCCCATTAATTATTTATTATTCCATGGTGTACTGGGTTTTCCTTTTTTCTGGAAAACCCAGTGGTTTGGGAAACCCGAACCGCCAAGGACTGAAAAAAATGTGCAGCAGAAGACCACGAAGAGCACAGCCCTCCCAGCGGTCGCTGCCTGAGTCGGGCGTGTGGTGGCCGTTTCAGGCATGTATATATATATATATATGTATATATATATAATATACTTATAAATGTATACTACTTATATATACTTATATATATACTTATATATAAATATACATATATATATATACTTATATATATATACTTATATATATATATAAATGATGATAGGATGACATGAGAATGACACAAATCTCTTTCTGGTTCAGGACAGCTTGAAGCCGACCACTCGGTTCAAGGAGGACCGGCCGCCGCTCCAGCGGTTTTTCTTCCTCCGGCACCGCGCTCTCCAGGAGCCTTCAGGTAGCAGTCCGCGGACGCCAGGATCAGGTGCCGAGTGTCGACCTTCAGTAAATATGATATGGATAAATGTGTGTATATACACATATATATACATATATTATATTATATATATATATGTCATAATATAATATATCTACATATATCATATCTTATATCTTATATCTAGACATGTATCAAAATCAGTTCTTAGTTCACTTAGTGCCAAACATCTCTGGTCCCAGACATGGTTGCTTTGCTTCGACATCTCCAGCTCTATGGTCAGGCCGTGGACTGGGATTTCGAAGTTCCAGAAGTTCCATCAGCAGCTTGTGGGAGCCCTGATTTTTTTTGGACCGAGGAAAACTAGCCATGGAGGTTTAGTTCGCTGGGAGAATCACCGATAAATGGGGTGGATTTTCCATTGCCACGTTTGATTACTGGAGGGCACCATCGAAACTTTCCTCTGAGGATGTTCAAGGGTTTAAGATGATTTAGGCTCCTCAAAATGAGCAATACCTCGTGGCGTATTGGCCCAATACGTGTTTCTTCGAATTCCAGCTGGTTTCTAACGGCACTGGATATCTCACAGGGTTTTGTTTCCAAATGAATGATAGGTTTAGAAATGAATTGCTGTGGCTCCAACCTCCCTCGTCATATCAGGTCGGAAAATGCACGGAAAGCAGCTGCCACCCGGGCAGCCATGGCTGGTTTGAATATCAGCATGGAAGATCCGGATACAGGAAGGGGGCAAGGTAAGGGGCCCCCAGAGAAGCACTTCATGCACTTCAAAGCTGCTTCAGAGCACATCCACTGGTGGTGTCATGTGTTCTCTTGACATATTTCTAACCATTTTCATCTACATTCTGGGAGGCATCATGGGAAATTGACTTCAATTTTTTCACGCACCAACCAGATATGTCAGGAATCTGGTTATTCACAAACCAAGCAGATGAATATTCCCACAGCAGCACTTCAAAAATGCTGGGTTGACGATCCCTGTAGCTCAGCTCGAGCTGCTCAGGTGGTGTGATCACCCGTGCAGTCTCCCGGATCTTACGTGCTGGATCCTCGCTGTCCGGCACTCTGTCCGTTCTGTCGAAAACCACCTGACTTGTGGGTAAAAATCTCCCATTTTTCGTTGGTTTTCCCAGGAATTCACTGGACATATCTTCCGAAAAGGGTTGCTTTATCCAGTCTGGGAGTGAGAGCCGATGGTGGGGCAGAGGAGTCTAGGCAAGTGGGAAATGCTGGGTCAGGGTGTGTCGTCCTCGATGGTCAAACTGGAGCCCCTCACACCACCTCTGGGTGAAATCAGTCCTGATCGTTGATCTCTGTGAACCGCAGCCGTGTAGGGCAAGCCTCTGCACAGACGTAGAAGCCCCTGATGCAGGATTTGAACCCCTCCACCTTTGCCGAAGATTTCCGGCTTTCAAAGCTTTGAACAATGCTTTCAGATCTTTTCTTTCCCCATAAATCCAGAAACAAATTTATAAAAAATCCAAAAATCCGCCCAAGAATTCCCATGTTGGAGACCTCCCTGATTTTCAGATGGATTTTGATTGTCTAAATGGCTTGCGATGGCTGATTTTCTCTCCGAAAGTTGCAGCGGAGCTTTGGGAGGTGAAGCGATGGATCGGTGGAGTTCCATTTTTTGGGCCCCAACAGACTGAGAAATGGGATGTTTCTATGGGTATCATCTCAGGTATTCAGGTATTCAAACCAAAAACCGCCTTTGTCAACTCACCATTTTCCAGAAAAAGAGCATTTTCAGTCAGGAAAATCGCCTGTTTTCATGTCAGAGGATTTTCTGCCAGATTGAAGACAGAGGGTCCCAATGCCATGAATCTGAGAGGCGAGACGAAACTCGCTCCATGTTCTCTATGGTGGCAGGTGCGGCAGATGTCACAGTGACTGAGCACTGCTTGACGTATGCACAGCTGGTAGTGGTTGAAGGATCAAAGATTGGCATCGATGATTTTTGAACAGTTGATTGTTCAAAGTTGATTTACCCTCTATTAGACCATCCACTTCGTTAAACCACCTTTATACACAGTCTATCACAGTCCTCTATCTTGAAAAGTGGATTTTCTGTTGCCGAAGTCCAAACAACTCACAAAATAAAGGGTGACCTTTTGCAAGGTGTTGAAGCTCTCCTTTGTGGCAAAGTCCAGAACTGAGAGCAAAGAGGCCTGGCAGGTATCCAAAGTGGATACTTCAGGTTCCCAAAGAAGCAATTTTGTGGCAGCCATAGATTGGACTTCGGAAAGTGGTTTCAAACTCTGCATGGGTCCATAGGGCATACCCGGATACCTCCGCCAGCTGCAGCTGTCAGTTGAGACCAGCTACGATTCGATCCACCGTGCAAGAGTTCAAGGAGGCTTAAGCCGATTGGGATGGAAAATCCAGATACAAGGAGCCTTTCCTCCAACGAAATTGACAATCCATTTCTTTCTGAATCGAAATGATTGAAATACCACAGCTTTGAGCTTTCAATTTCGTTTCAGTTCTCAAGGTGGGCTGCATCATGCACCAAACACTGTCCACTCGTGTCGACCTTCAACGTTCAACGCATTTACGATACAGCTGCCACTATATAGTGGGCTGATGATTCGTTGGAGGATTATGAATTAACCGTAATTAACCTATCCTTTCTATCTCGGTGATTATTACAATCCATGACTTGAGAAGTTAAAAAAAAACAACATATTGCAGTTGAGAAGGCGATGAGAGAGACCCTGAGGCAAAGTTGAAGCAGGTGAGACTTGTGGTCAGTTTTTTTTTTGAAGAAACCAATCTCTGGAGAAATGGGTCTGAAGTTATAGGCGAAGCCCAATTTTAGCCATTGAATCGTGGGGGAAAAAGGATCATTTTCACCATAGCCGATTTTCAGAGAAAGCCTCATGGGATGGGAGGCCACAGCGGATGCTGCACAGCAACTGGAGCAGCTGGGCTTCTGTTTCTGGCGCCAGGGGGTCAGTATGGACTGCTGCCAGCGACTTGGCGACATTGGAGAGGTTGGAGATGCAGACAAAATACCACCACCGTGATATTTCTGAACCTCCACCGTTCCCGATTTCGGCTGGTTTCCCGTTGATGACATGAGTATGGGTGATGACATATGGGTCGAGTTAAACCAGAAAATGATAAACCTAATAAACCAGAAAATGATTTGTACTCGATAATCTACAAAGGGAAGGCCCCAGGCAGGAAAAACTACAGACAACTATGAAATCTCACAATCCATATGGCATCGTTGACATGTTTCGTCATAGACCCATTTTATGAGGTCAAATCTCCATCAAAAATCCCATGGATGTAGTATTATTATTAACTATTATTAATTACTAATTATTATTAACTATTATGAGCTATTATTACTACTATTATTATTGTCATTTTTTTTGAGAAATCCAGGCCATGAACCCTCCACATTTTTCGGTAGGCGGCTGGCGAGATACGTGGATGAGGCCCTCCTTGCTGCAGAAGCGGAGGTGGCCGCTGCAGACCAGGAGACGCGCTATGCGCGGCACCGGACGTATTTCAGAAGGACTGGAGTGACTGGAGACACAAAATCTGGATGTGACGATGACTTGGCTTGTTTTCGCAATGGGCAATCCCACTACTTGGGGATCTATGGGGAATATTTTTTTCAAATGTTTTTTTTGTTGGTTCCTTAAGCACATCCACGAACATGTTGATGTTGCAGGGTATATCTAAATATAAATCTGAATCGACATTTCAATCTTATTCGAATCTTGCTGTGTCTAATCTTATTTTACATGTTCATTTCTTTTAACTGTCTGTTTGTTCATCTGCTGTTTGTCCATCTGTTTGTGTATCTACCTCCCTGTGTATCAACCTCCCTGTCTATCTATCTGCTATCTGTCTGTCTGTCTGTCTGTCTGTCTGTCTACCTATCCATCAATCTATCCCTCAATCTATCCCTCAATCTATCCCTCACTCTATCCCTCAATCTATCCCTCAATCTATCCCTCAATCTATCCCTCAATCTATCCCTCAATCTATCCCTCAATCTATCCCTCAATCGATCCCTCAATCGATCCCTCAATCGATCCCTCAATCGATCCCTCAATCGATCCCTCAATCGATACCTATCTATCCAGCTATCCAGCTATCCAGCTATCCAGCTATCTAGCTATCCAGCTATCTAGCTATCCAGCTTTCTAGCTTTCTAGCTATCTAGTTATCTAGCTATCAAGCTATCTAGCTAGCTAGCTAGCTAGCTAGCAAGCTATCCATCTATCCATCTATCCATCTATCTATCTAGCTATCTAGCTATCTATCTATCTATCTAGCTATCTGTCTATCTATCTACCTATCTACCTATCTACCTATCTACCTATCCTATCTATCCTATCTATCCTATCTATCCTATCTATCCTATCTATCCTATCTATCCGAATCTATCCGAATCTATCCTATCTATCCTATCTATCCTATCTATCCTATCTATCCTATCTATCCTATCTATCCTATCTATCCTATCTATCCTATCTATCCTATCTATCCTATCTATCCATCCCATCCATCCCATCCATCCCATCCATCCACCCATCCACCCATCCACCCACCCACCCATCCATCCATCCATCCATCCACCCATCCATCCATCCATCCATCCATCCTTGAGAGAATTCGATTGCCAAATGCTGACGTTTGAGCACTGACAGAGGCTGGCACATGCGACGCGGCAAGATCGGATTGAGTTCACCCTGCCGATGGTTCCTGTTGTGGTTGATGCCTTGAAGGAAATGGTGGCCTCAGTTGGTGGCTTGTTGGAACCCTTCGTGAGCAGATCTGGAAGATTGGTGGATCTCTCGTGCATGATCAGTGATCCAGGCTGTGAGTTCCAACCTCTACATGCAGATACTTCCATGGAAAGGGTGAAATTCACGGTCTTTGTGGCCTTACAAGACGTGACAAAGGAGATGGGACCGACGTTTCTGTGCCCAGAAACGCACAACTTTGAAAGCCATGCAGCTCTGGATGTGATGAAAAAGATGCCAGTGCCTCATGAAGAGATGTTGGAACGCTTCGGAGCTGTTCCTGCACTCTGCAACTGCGGCGACATTTTTATCATGACGCTTGGCGGCAGGAGCTAGGTGAGTTCCCCGATTGACAACGTGATTTGGTGACCCGGACAGGTGGCCCTATCTGGGAGTTTGCAGAAAGTGATCAGAATGGAATAGCAAAATCGGAGGTTTCAGGGTTTCAGGCAAGCAAAAATCCACTGTTTTTGGTAGCCCCTGGGTTCATTTTGGACTCTGGTGAACGCCTTGGACCTTGGACAGCAATGCTGCTGGGAGAAACCCTTGGATCATCATATTCCAGCAGGGGGGTCCAAAATTGGGGTAGCTCCAAAACCGAAGGATTTCCAATGGAAAAATCTGACATTTTGCGGTGTCTTGAAATTGGACCTTTTATCTCGCCCAGCCATGCTGGAAGGGAACTATGACAGAAAGCTATGGGGCTCAAAGGGTGTTTGTCTGAAAATAGGCTACCCTAGATCCCTGGTTAATCATTGTTTTCCCATGTTTTCCCTATTGAATGACCATTTGGGGGGTTAATCCCCCATTTTCAGGCACACCCAAATTGGAGATGGTTGTATATCCCGCTTGACTCCTATTCTTGGCTGCAAGGTGAGGTTCCCCCTAGATAGCTTAGTTGACGCACGTAACTTGGTTAAGGCTTGATTAAGGGGACACAACTTGATACAACAAGTATTCCTGGGTTTACAAACGTTCGCATCACTGGGCACCAAATCAACGGAACATCCCCATCATCCCCACCTTCACTGAAAAGCTCTCTGAATTTTATAGTGAAATCACTGAAATCACCGTGAAATCAAAGAAATTCCCAGGAATTCGCAGCTCCTGCACTGTGGCGGTGGTCATTTGCCTGCGGATCTTGGGGGTCGACGACGTCGCTTGCTGTATGTCACGTGGCACCTGCCAGGCGATCTTTTCCTGGGGATTTCAAAGGGGAAATAGGTACAGAAAATGGATATGGCTGATGATTCTGATGATTTATTTGGATTCACCAATCAGTTTATGGGGATATCATGGTGATATCATGGGAATCCAGTTTTTTTTTTTTAATGGAATTATGTGGTAAAGCCAATGCCATAGACCTCCCTTTGAGGATGGGCTTTAGCTTCCATAAAAATGGTGATGACTTGGGGATGGTGGCCATGGCATTGGTGCATGCGCCAGGGTCAATTTCGTTGGATGGTGTACCTGGTCCTGACCTTTGGGGGATGGTCATCAATTGATTTTCATAGGGAGTTAGCGGGATGGATGACCATTGGTCCATAAGCCATCTACCCTGGACCATGGCACACATAATAATAATACGTATATATTACAGGGATCATGTTGTCCAATTTTTTCAGATTTTTTCGTTCTGATGTTGTTTGATGGGTCAGCTGGGGATCGGCAATGTCTCGTGTTTTCTTTTCACACTTTAGGGCTTAGTATATACAGTATCTGCAGTGTTAACCCAGGATGAATACCCTCCTAGTTTCTTGATATTGGAGTACCAATTTTCATAGTATAAATGCACATTTTGCAGATCGACCCAACATCGGCCAAATGCACCGTTTCCATCCGACATGGCAGCAACATCGGCTTCACTTGGGGTCAACTTTGGCCAAGATGGCCCCAACTGCGGCCCAACTTGGACCCACTTGGCTCCAACTTCGGCCCAACTTGTCTCCAACATGCCGCAACTTAGCCCTAAGTCCCTAAGTCAGACCCACTTGGGAGCAGTTGAGCTCCATACGGGCTCAACACTGGGGACATTGCCGGCCCAATACGAAATCGTCAAAACACGCGAAATACACGTTTTTTGCTATCGATGATGCTTCGTTTGAAGCAATGTTCCCCATGTTGTGTCTCCGTTGGGCCCAGCTTGGTGTGAAGCTGTCGCCAAATTGGGGTCGAACTTCCGCCCCGCCTGACCCATTGGGCTCCAGTTGGGCCCAAGATAGGGGCCCAATGGCACACGCTCAAAACTTGCATTTTTGCCGAGAGAGAGAGAGAGAAAGCGATGTATATATATATATATAGAGATAGATAGATAGATATATATATATATATACATATAAATATACATATATATATATATATATATATATATATTCAGGGGTTCGTCCGAGGCCATGTTTCCCACATTGGGCCTGTCTTTGCGAATATTCCCCAATAAAGTAACCAAGGGATCCCTGATCGCCTAACCAACCAAGTTGCGGGTCACCCAGTGATCCTTGTTATCCTCCGTAGCCTCTGGTCTCTTGTCCACTGCCCGCCCACCTCTTTGGGTTTGATTGGAAAAGGATGAGCGATCGGCCGCGATGAATGAAAGGCCACTGCAAGGTCTCCGCAAAAAGTGGCATGGCAAGATGGTCATGTTCCCAAAATGCTACATTCACACTCGTCTAAAATCATTTTTTTTTAAACAGGGAAAACCTTCGATGCATTCTCATGACCATCCCTAGTTATCCACTGGAGACGTTCTCTTTTGGTTGCGCGTTGTTTCAGACTCTCAGTTTCGTCAAACAATGAATACTTCCCCGTCTTCAAACACTGTCTCAGGACACTCGAGTCCATTGTCTTTGTCAAAGCATCAGCTAACATTGCCTGAGTACTGATCCAACGCATTGCAATATTTTCTTGCAGTCTTTCTCGAATTAATAAACACTCCAGCGTCGTCCTGCATTCGCTGCATGATGGCGTCGATGTCTTTGTCGCCAAATCATAAACTGATTTGCAGTCTGTCACTGCGCTCGCTCGTGGGGCTTTGCTCAAAATCTTTCCAGGGTCACTCCAATCAACAGCTGGATTCTTCAACCACTCCCATATCACCCTGATATACCCTAAGCGATCCAGTGCAGAGCTGAGTGAAATTGCCTCAGCACTCAAAGTGGAAGTCACCACACGTGGAATCCGTCGAGAACTCCAAGCTATGGGACATACTACTGTACGCTCGTTTCTTGCCAAGAGCAAATCGGTTGAAAAGATCAAAGAGCCCTGACGCGAAGCTAGATCCTTTGTACCTGAGAAGGAGGCATCCGAAAAGGAACAGAAGGTAACTTGATGTTGCGGTATTGGGACAACCATGAGACAAACAGGATGTTTCTTTCCCTCAAAAAGAACCCTGTTGGCTTCTAAAAGATGTTGTACTTGACCCTTCGTCACCATGGATTGGAGTTGTCCCACCTTCGCACTCAAGTCGGGCCGGGTATGTACTGCAGCAAACTGCAAGCTTCCACAAATTCTTCTCAACTGCTGTACTTCCACAGGTGTGAGATCTGATTTTGGGTCAGCCCTCCTATGCTTGGGAATCTCAACTGGTTCGATACGACGTAGGTACTCATTCTGATCCATCTCAATAGTACCATCATCCCACTGTCGATACCTAACCCCACAAAATTCAAAATCCCCTTCATTGTACGCCCCAAAATCATAGATCCCTTTTAGTTGTTGCAACACATTGTGGAAATAGTCATCGTCGCCCCCGATCCCATCATCTACGTGGATGCCAAGAACTCCTCTCACACGTGGAGTTCCATCCTTCTCTGGTGTCACCAAACTGAAGAGGCAACCATCAAGGGGACAGGTGATGAAACCAAGATTCTCCAGGGTTTCCCTAAAGGCTTTGTACCACAGATATGGAGCGTCAATACGACCATATGCCCCACCCATTAAGGCACACTGCTCATCCCCTCTGATGTCAAGTTTATCCCTCAATTCTGGTGGTGCATGTATCCCCAAAGACCTACCATCACCATGTCCCTTGAGAAATGCCGTGGATATGTCGAAATTTATGAGTTTCCATCTCCTGGATGCCACCTGTTGCAACAACAGCTGTTTTCCATCCTTTGATAAAGTTGGCGCATCGTTAGGCACTGTTTGGAGTCCAGGATCCTCAAAACCTAGAACCACCAACCTAGCCTTTGCCCTCCGTTCAGTGGACCCAGGAGCTGGATTTTTCCATGTTAAAATCCATCGGCAACGTAGAACTTGTTCAGGGCTGAGTGTCCCCTTTGTGACCCTCTTCACAGTCCCATGGTCTACCCATGCTTGGATTTCTTTTGCTTTGGCAGCATCAAAAAGTGCACGATCCTCTTTTGTTTGGATACGATAGTCAACCTCAACACGCTTCTTCTTCTCCCCCGTGGTTAACCAGATTTGTTCCAACATTTCAGGATGTGCACAAAAAGCATCGGCTATTTCGGGTTCCCATTCAGTTTCGTGGAAATTTATTTCCCAGACTCCGCCTGTGGAGGATTTCATTTGAACATCATCCCCAAACAACGAATCCTCGGAACCATCATCAGGAATAGGAATTTCATGAGGGGCCAAACCACTATCCCCATTTTCAACATTCTCCTCCACAGAGTCCTCCCCGGGAAAATCCTCTTGTTCTGGTTGTTCTACTGCAGAGGAATTGATGGGAGTACCCGGTGAATAACCACCTCCATCGGACATTTGTTCTTCCCCATGAGAATGATGGTCTCCATCTTCAGGGTCCCCAACCAACTCGACATAGTTCTTCCCTTGGGGTTTTTCATCCATCACTCGACCATCCTCTCCTTTGGGAAGATGCATGTATTCCCGAAGCGATGCTGGCCGCACTTGATTGGGACTGGCTCTGATGAGGCGTCCAAGATGACTCAGCCAAACGATTCTCCTCTGTTCCACTGCTATCACTTGTGCTGGACCATGCCATCTCCCCCGCTCTATCCTACTGTTCCCCTTTACTTGACGCCAGTAGAGAACCCAGTCCCCTTTTTCAAGTTCTATCTTTCCAGGGCGACTTTGTCGCAGCAGCGCACGACGAAATGCTGAGTCGTTGTCTGCCTGGACATATGCTTTCCTGGCAGCTTCTCTTCGGAAGAGATCTTCGCGGAACTTGACACCCTCAGGGGTATCACTGTCTGCCAAGGCGTGACTACTGGCATTTGAATCAGAGACCAAGGAGCCTGGCAAGTGTCTGGATTTGCCTAAAAGGCACTGTTCAGGAGTGAAGCCATTGATCCTAGACAGTGAATTTTTCGCAGCAAACACCTGCCTCAAACACCTAGCAAACTCACCCTCAGTACTGA